CGCAAATCATGTAAACCATGTCAGTGTGGGAGCATTTCTTTTCGTTTTCTCCACTGTTGTGTCCCAAGCACCTGAAGTGTTGTTTGACACTGAGGATGTGGGGCAACAGCAGTGTTGATGAATTGCATTGATACTCAGCTGGGAATTGGGTTCCTCGTTCTACAGACCAGCTCTGAGTACTCTTTGTTCTCGCCTTATGCACATCTGTACCAGGATGTCACCACCTTGAGTCAGGACTCACATAACCATTTGTGGGAATCTGTCTCTGCCGATACTTTCCCCATTGTTGAGTAGAGCCGATTCCCCTTCCCTAGGGCTGGAGGGGTGAAGCACAGTGGTGTGGTCCGGAGTTTCAGTGCTTGCTCTGGACAGACTCCTATTCGGAAGGAGCTGGCTCCTGACTCATCTCTGTTTTGATTTACACATTGTTGTCTGGGTAGCCTAGTGCTAACAGGAGGCTCTCCTCCATTTGGTGGAAAGAATAACCTTCTGAGTGAGCTTTGAACCCAGAGAGATGTCCCTACCGGTAAAACCCCATCCCCAAGATGGTGCTACTGAAGTCTCTGTGGCGGGGAGACCCTGGCACGTACCCGTTTAACACTGTCGCGTTGAATGTTCAAGTTCATGTTTTCAGCTCAATGGAGGAAGTTTGTTTATAAGCAGAGTTTACTCCAGCACAGCAAATCATTTTCCTGGTACACAGGAATTGGGGAAGTTCAGTGTTGGTTACTGTACCCCAACTAAAACTCTGCCTCTCCACTCTATTTCACCTCCTGCTTATGTTGTCCCTATGGTAATATTCTTGTTTCTAAATTGAAGTGCTCGCCCCACGGTGCCTTTCTTGGCAAGCCTTCCCCCCTTGTTTTCCATAGCTGCCTAGACTGTAGTTAGCCTCGTAATTCCAGATAGGAGGAAGACCTAGATTTTCATATATAAGCTTGCCTAGGTCTTACTGAAGCCTCCCTGACATCAGGCATTACTGTACCTTGTCCACTCACTTCTTAGAGTGCAGTACATATTTAAGTCTCCTCAATGATACACGGGCTCTCTACTTTTACCATCCCTCCAACCTCCTGAAGGCCTGCAGGCTTAATGTCCTCCTCAGATTATTGTGAGTGCCTGGCCTGACTTGGCTGCAGCTGTTGCTTGTGAACAGTATGATGTCTCTCCTCCCCCAAGAGAAGTTGCAAATGCCTGGTCTGCAGCACTTTCCACCTTTGTAGACTCAGGGAGTGTAAAATAGAATGAGAAATGAATGCAAGGCTCCTGTTTGGGGATTCAGTGCACAGCTTAAGAACTATTGAGTTTAGCCATTTCCTGACATTGACTTTCATAGCAACAGTTTAATTTGGAGAAAATCTGCTACCTCAAATGACTAAAAGTATTTATGTGGAAAATTTTCCAAATGATTGGCTTTACTGTGTTGCCATTTTCTTTCCCCATGAATATGTGAGTATTTGGCTTTCTCCCAAGAGTTCTTTTCTGCATCACCACTCTTCAGGAAAAGACAGTTTTCTATCCAGAGCTGAGGTCGCACCAGGAGTCTTCCTCTTTTAAGCAAAGTATTGTTTTGAGTTTAAGCCACAGCATCTGTAAAAATCGAGACTCACTATGTTGCACATGCCCTTGGATTTTCTCAAAGGTTAAGGTTGTCTGGATAACCCTGAGTACATTCCCGGGGGACTTGGGCTCCCTGAAGCCTGGCCCTCTTCCTGGCTCACACTTGCATCAGTCCTACTTGCATTGCCCCTCCTTCTTCCTTACCCTCTAAGTCTTCAGCCAGCTCACCACTGTCTGCTCTGGCCAGCATCACCAATGACTTCCCAAAATTCAGTGCAATAATAGCTTTGGATTACAGTCAAACTTTCTGTGGCAATTAGCATTTTAGGTCTCAATTGTCTTACCTTCTTGGGACTGTTTACCCTCCTTGTTTCCTTAAACAGTTTCCTCTTCCTTTGTCCCTTTCATAAGTATTGGTTTTTTTTTTTTTTTGAGGGGGGGATGAGTCCTACTCTATTTCTTTAAATTTAAAAAAAAGAAAATCTTTTAAAACTTTTTTCATTTATTTATATGTATATATGTGTGTGAAGACACACACACACATATATATTATAATATATATTTTTATATACACCTATATGTACACCTGCATGCCTGAAGAGGCACTTATTATAGAGGGTTGTGAGCCACCATGTGGTTGCTGGGGATTGGACTCAGGACCTTCGGAAGAGCAGCAGCCAGTGTTCTCTGCTGCTGACAGAGCCCCACAGCGTGGCTATCATACCTCCTTAGTCTGAACCCTTGTCACCCTTCATCTTCCCATATTTGTGTTTGGTCTTACTGGATCTCTCTTTGATTCCTTAAACCTAACACTGTCTCTCATTTCTGGACTTTCCTACGGTACTTTCTTTTTCCTAGTCCACTCCAACGTTCTCCCACTTGGCTGGAAGGGTTCCCTCTTTTGAGTCTCAGGTTCAGACTACTTCTCAGACATGCTCCCATGTCTGGCAATTGCTATAGCTTCTGCCTCATTGTCCTGTCAAAGACCCCTAAGGCAGCATCTCACAGTTGCTCCATCTTGAAACTTCCGTTGGAGTGCCTGCTATGCCATGATGGGAGCATATCACCCATGTTGCCTGGTCACTGCACATGACTGTTTCAATATTTGATTCATGGCTATCACGGAGTTCAATAAATATCTATTAAGTGGAAAATGATCCTCAAACATGAACTGTCACCAACCTTCTCCATGATACAGTTATAAATAAATGCCATAATCTCATCTGCAGTTTCTTCCTCACTAGTCACGCTCCCCTGTCAGGAATGACTATTAGTTTCCCACAAAGCAGACAAAAACTTTGTTGCAGACAAAGCAACCTATATATCCCACAGGAAGAGAAACTTTCCAAGGTTCTGAGAATTAGCATATGGTAATTGGCAAGTCCCAGGGTATCTTTTAATTGAACCTTTGCAGAAGTTCACTTAGCTTGTACTCAGTGCTTAAATTGAGTAGAACCTCATTAAGGAGGTTGTGTCATGTCATGCCTTAGTGAAAATGGAGAGGATGGGAAATACAGCTTCCCACAAGGAGGCAGGGAGCCTGCTGATCTGTGGCTCTTGCATCCACAGGTTGGGTTGGTACTGACTCCTGACACTGAAGAGGGTAATAGTATGGACATGACCTTCAAAGAAGGCTGGGATGGCCCTTCTTAGATCTTGTTGTGACATTTTTGTTTCACGTGCTTTCCTTCTGTCCCCCTCCCATGCTTCTCCTTCATTGCCACCTCATGAGCACACAGAATGCCCAGAGCATCTCTCCCAGAAGCACATCTAAAGAAACAGTGTGACTGGCAGGCTGAGTCCACCTCGGCATTCCCTGATCTCCCTGCTACCATTTGCTTACTCTTTCCCATGCTCTCTGTGACTACTATAAGGCAAGAGAGGTGGCCACTCTCGGGTGCCAACCCCACACTGACTTCCCCGGCCTCTCTGCTCTCACACTCCTTGCTTCCCCAAATCCTCATCTTCAGGACCCAGATCAAATGTTCTCCCCCATGAAGCTTTTGTTATCACCCGAACTGTGCCCACAGCAATCCAGCAAGTGGCCATCCCATTTTTCTCTAACTCCAGGAAACTAGATTTGTACCTCCCTGCAAACTCCCTGTTTGGTTCTTAGGCATGTCTTGCTTCTATGCTTAGGTATAAACGTCCAAGGAAGACTTTTCCTCAGCGTGCCCACACTGTCTAGCACAGTAGGTGTTTAGGGGCAATTGGTGTAGGAGGAGAGATCTAGGGAGGAGGACTGCACAGAGGTTAATTGCAGGGGCCGAGAGAGTGGAGGCTAAGCTTGTGTGCTGAGAACAGTCATTCCAGGTTATGTTTCTGCTCTGCTACTTAATGAGCAGGAGGCTTTGAACAAATTACACCATTTGTCTGAGCCTCCATTCTGTATCTTTTAAAAGACAAAATTATACATGCAAAATTATATCCCTACCTATGACTGTTGTGAAGCCTGAAAAAGAAATCACAAAGCACTTAGCACACGACCTTTGCCTCCCTAGCACTCAGTGAATATCAGAACCAAAGCACAGAAGGTCTAGCGGAAATGCCGCCATAGAAAATACTGCTGTGGATACTAAGGGCAAAGGGCACTTGTGACTAATGTGACAAAGCGAGTTAAAGCTGTCACTGAGAGAAGACCAGCATGGCCTAATCCTCCTGAGAGAGCGTAGGTGCCTGCTTTTGTAAAATGGTGCATCTCACCTCTGTGAGTCAATGGAATCGGTTTGACACGAAGACAGCGATAATCGAGGCTACTCCAGTACAGGCAGCAGAGAGGGCTAGGTGAGCTCATAGTGGCTAAAACTGCCCCACATGTTAATTTCTGATGATTTGAAAGGAGATGGAAAACAAATGCTGGAGGGAAAAAAAGGTCATGTTTTTGCTGCCATCTACAGATGTCAGAGTGCAATTTTAAAAGTGTCTTACCATGCCCACAAGCCTGCTTTACTGAGCCACGCTATGCATGAAGCGCAGTTTAAGTAATAGTAACCTAAATAACTTAAGCACATTATTACTGTAATTTATTTTGCCCTGCTTTTTAAAACTATGAGCATTTATTCAGGGATGCAATCTTTATAACTGCTCAAGTTGTGTCCAGGCTTGTCATCAGAAGGCTGTGTCACAACTCAGGGTCCGGTGGTCGTTGCTCAGGGCACAGTAGGTGAAGCTTTGGCAGCTCGATGACAGGGTCAGACTTTAAAATGGTGGCATCGAACACAGAGCTCAGCTGGATTTCACTCCAGGCTCTCCTGTTTCTCTCTGGTTACTAGAATTACTGTAAATTGCCTCTGATTGTTTGGATATGAGAAATCACAACAGGTAAAAATCAACTGGTGGGGGTGAGGTCCCCTCTGAGTTGTCTCCGGTTGCACCCTTACCTGTGTTCTGTGTGAGTTAATTATTGGCACACCTGCCTGTCCTGTGTCTCTTTTCCAAAGGATTAAATATAGACAAGAATTATTGGAGAATCGTTTGATGGAGAGAAAAAAACTGGCCCTTCAAGAAGTTCAAGAAGAAGAAGAACGAGAGAGGCGCCTGGAAGCCCTTCGAAAACAGGTGGTTCCAATTTAGAAATTTTTATTTTTTCAATGTTTCTACTGATGATATTATTACTGGGGCCAAGTTCGTGACAGCTGCTATATAAAATGTAACTTTTCCAAACTAGGACATGGTTTCCATTCCTAGGAGCCAGTTGGGTTTATGTTGAACCAGGTCCAGCTTCTTAATACATTTAAAGAAGTTTATCAGCAGCACTTAAAAAGCTCTCCCAAGCTCTAAATGTGTCCATATCTCCTCTAGTTAGGTATCCAAACAGTATTTGTTTGCAGCAGTGAAACTGTTTCCAGTCAAAGGACTGTCCTCAAAAATGTGGTAGAGCAAGATAATCCACTCTGGAGTGGGAACCTTTGCTTGGAAAAATCCCACAGACAACAGGCCTTACAAATACCCCTTTTGTATAGAAAGAAAAGCCTACTACTGCCTTGCCAAATAAGAGCAGGCAAAAGTAAATGGAAGTAGACAGTACATGGCAAACACAGGGATTTAAGAGATTGGGAAATGGGAGATGGTTCCTCTGGTAATTTTTCTAAGCTCTAACTAATCAGTGATTTCTTGAACTGATAACAGCGCAGCCTGGCCAACGGGAAGTGGCTGTGTAGTTTCCTTTCTAAGTAAGTAGAGGTCCTACAGAGTGATGGATGAGATTTGACCTTGGGTGTCCTTCAACTCTGCAACAGCTGGCAGTACTCAACAGCGGGAAAAACTTGAGTCAGATATTTAATCTGTCTTGGCTTCATTTCCTCATCCGGAAAAGAGGAATAATAATGGTGGTACCTGCCCCATTGGTTGCAGTAATTGCAGATCAAATTTGTGAGCACTTACTTACTAATTGCAAAGCCCTGTTCCAATGCTCCTCAGCATTCCTTACGAGGAAAGTATTTTCAATGCCTCCATGTTGTAAAAGAGGAAACCAAGGGGCTTTCTCCTAAGTCACATAGCTAGTGTCAACTGGGACTCCTATGAGATGCTCTCATATCATCATCCTCTACAATAAAATAGACCATAGAGATGACTTTGAAGCATAAGAACATAGATTCAGTCAGCAAAGAATTACATATTCTGGTTTTCTGGAGACAGACTTATGTCACAATTACTGAATACAATATATGTCACAAATATAACTGATAATTACAGAGTCCATGTGACTAGAATTCCTTCTATCAATCAGTTCTTTGTAGAAAGAAGCTCTCTGTTCCCATCACCTCTAACCAGTGTTTAGAATTGTAGTATAAGGCATTTGAGCTAGGAAAGCTATTATAATTAAATTACATTTGACCTGACCCTGGTCATTTTATCACAGTTTTGAAATAGCATTAACATACCATTTACTTCATGAGGATTCTTGACTTGACTTGCAGAATTAACAAGCCGATGTTAGTAATGGTGCATATGATTGACAAAATTAGTGGCTTCTTTTCATTAAGATTTGGGTCAGAACTGTTATTACTATGTAGGACAATGACTTTGTGTTAAAATGACTGCAGTTTTACAATAGAAAGGTAACTCATTGTCTCTAATATTCCTAGAAGTCTACTTGCCTAGTACAATGGAAGTTCACCAAGTTTGTCTTGTAATGAGGGCACAATTGACTTCACCAGAAAGCCTCACAGTCTTGGTACTTATAACCATAGATCAATAGCTGCTGAAATGAATTTTTGTTGCTTTTTTTTTTGTCGTTTTCAAGGTGATGGAATATACCAGTTTTCTATGTAGCATTCCATTTGACTTTTGTCAGACAAATAAGTTTATATCTGAAATCAATCATAAGCGGGACTATTTAATCATTAGCGAATGATCACGATGTTTAAATGTCTCATTTGACATGTGTTTTAACTCCTTTGTAAGGTTCTGGGACTGACCTGGATTTAACGTCCTTGGCTCTTTCCTCCACAATTTTATATTTCACAATATGTCTTTAATGGTCATTAAACAAACCTATAATCTTACCGAGAAGCATTTAGCTTGTACCCTCTTCTGAGTGGCCATGCTTTCTCATCTCTCAGGTTGCTGTTGTTGTTCAATCTGATCCAGTCAGAATGATGTCAGAAACAATGGCATGGAAAGCTAGGACAGGCACTGAAAATGAAGATGAATTTATCCTTCAAAAGCCACTCTTCACTTTGACTACATACAATGAGCAGCAGGTAATTATGGGAATTAGCAGGATTGGTGCAAAATCCATGCTGAGAGTAGGAAGTACTGCTGTAGTGTGTGTGTCTTGAGCTACAGATTATTTTCAAGATTTATGTTTAAATACCCTATGCATTAGTACATTTTTACTTCTAAATGATAATACACAATTACTGCATGATTCTAAATATTATAGAATTGTGACATAAAACAGTTTAAAGTCATGTCTATCACTGAAAAAATAGAATGTTTTATTCAAAAGTTATTGATATAAAAGGGTTATTGATATTATTTTACAGGTCAAAGATTTCTCTGTTGTCCTATTAGGAATGTATATCTAAATTCACAATGTAAATCCCATTAAATAAGCAACCAATGAGTTAGACAGGCAGAACTGAAGACTGCTGTCCCAGGTTGTGTCTTAGACTGAAGGAGAAAACATCTTCTGTGGAAATGTCCTTGAGGGATCACGAAGCTGTTGGTAGGAGCTTAGATTTGATGTAAGATATGGCTGGACCTGAAAAGGGAGATTCAAAAGAATTTTTAGCAGGAGAAGGATGGGAAAGAGGACTTATGAGTGAATGGATATCACCAAAATTAAGGGAGAAAGCAGTTATGAATTTACAGACCTAGGGATAAAAAAGCCCAAATCTTCAGAAATCTGTTGCCAAACTTGTCCATAAGGTCTCTCTTGTATGCCGTATATGAGTCAGTGGATAGCAAGGTGAAAATTTCATTCTTTAATAGTCAAACAGGTATTTATGAAATAGACAACTATATTCTGGTTCTGTGTGAGAGTGTGGTTCTTGGCTCTATCCCAAATGGGCCAGCCTGATCCTTCCTGGAGGTAAGGAGTAGAGGGTCCAGGTCAAGAAGGAAGAGTATTGTATACAGAATTCATACACAAGGTTAAGGCCAGTTCTGTGCTGCATGTGGGGAGAGAATAAATGATTATCTCTGATGGCAGGTTAGTTATGGAGATCTGAGCTTGAAGATTTGGGACAGTAGCTGCTAAATTCATTCAAGGTGACTGACAGTTTAAAGGGGAAAAAAAAAACAGTGTGTATAGGGAGAATTCCTTAGAAGAAGGTGTGGGTAGATCTCCAGAACCATCTGCCAAAGTGGGGAGCACCTGCACCCTAGAGGACTTTGCCCTAAGGGGCTGGACCGAGCCACCGGGGTTTCCCAGGCAGAAAGAAAGAAGCCCCTTCCTTGACTGTCTACTGTGAGCTGGGCAGGGGCACAGGCTAAGTGCTGAAACGTGAGAGTAGAAAGAGGCTGGAGCCCAATGGCAAGACACAATAAGTCTTTCTACTCAGACATCAGACCTTGATCCTGTGTGCAGACAGGATATTTTAAAGCAGATAAAGTTAAATAATGACGTTTGTTTGTTTGTTTGTTTGTTGTCACAGGGTTGGGGGAGGGGATTCCAGACAGGGTTTCTCTGTGTAATTGTTCTGGCTGTCCTGGAAATAGTCCTGTAGTCCAGGCTGACCTCGAAATCACAGAGATCCACCTGCCTCTGCTTCCCGAGTGCTGGGAAGCAATATTTGTATTTTATCCTTGTATCCCGAATAGAAAATTGATGGATGTTGGGGTAGAGAAGTGGAAGTGGTGGTGAATCATGAGCAGCTCTGACTGGAGAGGGGAAGGCTGAAGAAAGTGAGGATGACAGCCTAGACAAGCACCACTGTGAAGGGCATGCATTGTGAATTCAAAGCCACACCCTCGATGTATTGGTTATGTGCATTTGCCTAAACTATTAACATCTTTATGTTTGCTTTCTTCATCTTTGAAATAATTACTTGCAAAGTTCTTGTGGGAATTAGAAATAATAAATATCAACTGCCTAGAATATTGCCTGGTGTTCAGCAGTAATTCGACAGATTATTGCCATTTTGCGGATCTGCCATTAACCGTGTAAGGATACAGAAGGGGAAACAAAGCCTGGGGAGAATTAGTTTTGTTCATGTCATGTTTAGGGTGAAGGGGTATAAAGCACGCTTTTGAGAAACTGGCCTTCGGGAAGGAGAAACCTTCTTTCTCTCTTCATTTACTTTTTACCTAAAAAATGAATAATGAATCATATTAAAGCTTCACAGCCCCGGAGCTGCAGAAAAAGGTGAATCCTGGGCAGAATTTGGGAGGTAGTGGCACACAGATCACACAGAGAGTGTGACTCCTTGAAAGCAGGAGAGAATAAATGGGGACAGAAAAGGAAAAGCCTGGGACTGAGACTCAAATGGTTGTTTCTCCAACAAGGATCTTTCAGTTATTCCTGGCCTCACATGCATCACTACCCCAGCCCTGCATCCAATGCATCACAACCTCAGCCCTGCTACCAAAGCATCACTATCCCCATCCCTGCTTTTTATTGGTTGCCATTGCATCTCCCTTTTGAAGTATTTGTAACAGTTGGTTCTTCTCTACTTCCAGACATACTTAGGTATTTATTCATGTCTAGACAATCACTGTAGACTCCTGACTGCTCCCTCCTCCACATCTCTCCTTTCCCTGCCATCGTAGTTTATTCCGACTTTATAATCAAATCGATCATCTTGTGTAGTCACACTTTCGTGCTAACAGTAGAAACAAACACCAAGGCACTAGCTAGAGCAGATGTCAAGACTCTGAACTCCACACCCCAGTCTCATTTCTTGACAGAGCTGCTCAGTGGCACAGCACTCTGCCCAAACTCCCCAATTCCAAAATTGGCCTGCTTCATCTCAGCATTTGTATGTGAGGCCTCCCTGTCTGATTAGATCTCTCTTCCTCTCCCTCTGATTTAAAGAAAATTAAGTTCGATTTTATGGTTGCCCAGCTGTTTCTTACCCGATGCCATCTTCCTGGAAGCAGCACCCCACACACCTCCATGTTTTGCCACGCGAGGCACAGCCACAGGTCATCTGCACTCCTTACTTCCACTCACTCAGAATGCACTGAGGAAGCTATCTTCAAAAGCTTATGACCTTATCTTTTCATAGGGCTGGACTTCAGATTCAGGTAAAATGCCATATTGGGTATAAATCCATACGTGGTCACCTCTTATTGTGACACAGTGTGGTGTCATTTAAGACTGGTAGGAAAGGGATTAAGGTCCAATCAAGTATAAATGAGAACAGAAGTTGAGCTATTTTTGTGTCTCCTCCTACTTAGCATGACATGGGTAGGGCATTTTCCAGTTCTGTTTGAATAGAAATCTAGCCTCAGATTCCCTTTTCCAAGGAGTAACCCATGTGATTATGCTTAGCTTACACATTACTAAATGACAGTGACCTTAAAGTGTCTGTTTGAAGATGTTCAGGGGGCTGGAGAGATGGCTTAGTGGTTTAGATCACTTGGGGCTCTTGCAAATGGCCTGGGGTTTGGCTCCCAAACTATCTACCTACAAACTCAACTCTTTGAAGCACTTGTTGTAAGCATTAATATTACCAAATTTACCGAGATCATGGGGTGTTTGTTACCTATGCTATCACTAGAGAAGCTGTATTTTGGAGGTTATTTTCCCCATAAATACCATCTGCAAGACTTATAAATTCCATAGCCACATTCTTTCCGCTTGCTATTTTACAATTTGACTTTTAATTATGTAAGTTTCCTTAACTAAATCACCACTCCCTCTTCTAGCCTCTGCAAGTACTACATATCCATATGGTGCATATATGTGCATGCAGATACATACTCATACATTAATTTTTTTAGTGATATCATCTTAAAAATATATTCCAAAGATTAGTTTTATTTATTAAAGTAGACATATTTCTTAATACTTTATTTATATGATTCTAGCCAGCAATACATAATCATAGTACTGGAAGTAATGTCCTTTTATTTCATCATTTAATAATTTTAATATATTGTATTTGATTAAAGTGCTATATAATATTTAATGAAACCTATGTTGGAAATAAGTAATGCACTGGAAAATGATAATGTTAAAAATGGTTTGGACAATTTTAATAAAAACACTATAACCGAAAACAAAAATAAAAACAAAACAAAACAAAAAACTGTGCAATCACAGAACTAGCAATAATTATTGTCATCTAACCATCTACCTTAAACAAATATCCAACTTGGGAAAATATGAAAATTACTGATAAGGTTTACTTCAGCTAACTGAGTTGTTGTTTATTTGACTTACACTTTATATCTGCAGATAACTTCTGATCCTAGACTTCGATTTGAGCTAGCGCTTCGAGAAGCTGGACTCCATAAGACACTGTACGCCAAAGAGATGCTACCAAAAATCAGTCCTCAGAAGCCTCCAAGGAAGGACACAGAGTCCACTATATTCAAAGTGTAGAGGGCATATGCAAACACCATATGAATATGGGTAATGATGATAACCACTTCTAAATGTTTAAAATCCACAAAATGTATAAATCATATCATTTATTAAACAACTTTGCCGTTTTTAATCTTCAATGTTTTGTGCTCTATTTGTTTTTCTTTAAGTGCCATGTGCTATTACAAAATTCACCAAAATTATGGGACTTTGGTATACATGTTGTCATTTGTTAGGCTGTTATTTTGGAGGGTTTTTTTTCCTATAAAGAGGAGCTGAAAATAATCATTTGGAGAAATGACACATTCCACAGCTACATCCTTTTCTGCTTATTGTTTCTCCATTTGACTTGTAATTATGGAAGCTTTGGTATCACTAATACTTGTATTGTTTTTCGGTTTACTGTAATGGAGGAGATTCAACCTTTCTCTATATTTAGAACCCAGTTTGGTACATCATGCTCATTGCAAGCCAGTCATCTGAGCAAACTCTATTTGCAAATTTGCCTTAGGAAGACATTAGAAGTGGTGTCTCCTTCATGGAAATACCGATTTTATCTGGGAAGACACCGCTGTATGGTGGTTTAGAAGGAAAAACAGACATTTCATGACACTTGAAATATTAACAGAAGTTCCAAATTAGCTAAGAAATACCTAGGTGACTTTCTTGAAGAGAAGTATTTCATATTAAACCTCATAAAATTTTGGCTATTTCTAAAGAGCAGTGATTCGGGCAACAAAATGTCTTGTTAGAACTTCCAGTCTCTAGTAGTAGCAGGAAGACTAATCTTTTTTTCCTTCACTTTATTACCATTTTATATACCATTACCACTTTATATACCACCCACCTCTAGCCATGGGGTTGTTTTCTCTAGGTAGTTATGAGAACACATTGAAAACCAAAATATGCAGGGCTGAGGATAAGGCTCAGTTAGTAGAGAACTGACCTATAATGCCCAAAGCCCTGACTTTGATCTCCACCATCCTATAAACTGGGTGTGGTAGCACACACCTGTAATCCCAGCACTGGGGAGATGGGAAGAAGGAGCATCATTCTTTGCTATGTGGTGAGTTTATAGCCATCCTGTACTACAGGAACCCTGTTGAAAAAAAACAAAAGAGAGGGAAGTGCAGGAGAGGGGAGATGAGGGAGAGGGAAAAGCAGGAAGAGAAAAAAGAGCAGCATAAAGAACAGTCTGATTGGAAATCTTCATGGCCACCCATGAGTGTAAATGAAATCAACCCAGCCTGTCAGTATACATTGCCTTATTTGTAAGAGGTTCCATAGGGGAAAAGGTCTTATCCCTATCCCACAATTCATCCCAATGCTCTTTGCATCTTTATAAAATCTCATCAAAAAGTGTTGAGATCCTTAGGAAGAGGTGGAGAGTAGTGAGCATGGATTTGTCTTGGGGGTTTTTCTGGGGGTCAGCATGTTAATTTAGGGGGCTCTGACTGTAAACCTGAGGGAACCTGCTGCAACAGAAAACATCCTGTGCAAACAGCAAGATGCAGATGCTGCTAACTAAGCCTATGGATCCTTGCAGGCATGGACATCCATGCTGGAGTCCTGGGAGCACATTCAAACACTACTGAAATATTCTTTTTAACTCTCTTGGTATCTAAAGACTACTAGCTGGTGCCCCCTTGTTAGCATGTAGCTCTGCCATTCTGATATAAAGGAAGATGTCCTGGGTTGTGATAAGAACTGAGTTGTGATTTGGGCAGCAGTCTAGCCATTGGCTGTGCCCAGACCCAGACTGTAACAGTTTTCTTTCCTTTTTTAAAATTGTATTGACAGTAGCTATTAATCACTGAGTGCAAACTGAATGCTTAGCTTAATTGAGTGCTTTCCATATATCTGATTGGTCTTGCAACCTTCTGATACGGTTCTTGTCATTTTAAAGGTCCAAAAATAAGTTCGGAGAGATGAAATAATATACATCTTATTGGTTGTCTTCAAACAGAGACATTAAGTTAACATAGTGAACCCTGAGCATTTTAAAGTAAAGTGAAAGAAAATAATCTGAAATCCAGATGATCAATAAACACAGGAAGCGATAAAAATGCTTATTCAGACCACGCAGTGAACAGTCAGTACCCCCTGATGGTCAGCACTGCCCATGGGTGTAGTAGCCACAGGAAAATGGGAAGATTTCCTTTGGTGGCACAGGCTGTAATTCCAGCATTTGGAAAGAGGAGGCAGGAGGTCAGGAATTCCAGGTCGCCCTTAGCTCTGTGCACGTGGAGGCTAACCTGGGCTACATGACACAATGTCTCCAAAGCTAAAAGGGCACAAAATAGCTGTGTGGTGAACACACCTGTAATAGGAAGTAGGAGGAATAGCAGATCAAGGCCAGTCTCGGCGTACAGAACGAATCAGACACTGTCTCAGCCAAGAAAGAAAAGGGAAGGAGGGTGCTAGCATTAAAATAATAAGCATTTTATCTTTCTGCATGTTTATTAATCATCTAGATTTCAGATTATTTTCTTTTACATTACTTAAAAAGAGTCAGGACTCACTACATTAATGTCTGTTTGAAAGCAACTGATAAATTGTATTATTTCATCTTTCTGAACTTATTTCTAGATCTTTAAAGGGAGAAAGCACACCCTTGCCTGCTGAGGTGGTGGTTTTTAAACCTTCTGATTCAGCAACTCTCCTGTTAGCTGTGTGCTATTGAGCAGCCCCTGATGGCATCAGTGTGTAGGCAGCAGAAACTGGGGTCCAGGAAGGAAATCAAACTAAATTTCATCAGTAGCAAACTGGACAGACATAAAAATGGTGATATATTTGTTTATGGAATTACATATCACAAAGGAAATGGGGGGATTTATTGATATGGACATTATACTTACCCAAAGGAGTGAAGTGTCATATTTCATTTATCTCAAAGAACAAAAATCTGCCAAGATAATTTGTATTACTTATGGCTACATGGGGAGGGGGGAAACAAACAATAGAGAGAAGCAAGAAAATGAAAATCAAGTTGAGGATTACCTTGAGTAGCAAGGCAGGATTGATGATCCACATGTTCCTGAAAGTGTTATATTGCTTAACCAGGAATGTGTTACAAAATATTTCTGATCATTTTCGAGTCTATGTATGTATTTTACATACTGTTATATGACAAATAAATCCCAGCAAGTTTTTTAAAAAATGAATATAAGAAAGCAAGTAATTAAAAGCACAATTTGCTTATGTCACTGTGCATCAACAATAGTCTTTTCAGTTAAGTTCTGGTATAATGACCCCAGTTTGCATACATTTGTGAGGTAGGAAGACCTGTCCCTTCTTGGAAGTCTTCCTTCTCTTGGCATATCATAGAACTCCCTAGTCCAGTGCCCTGTTCTACTTTGGTTCTTGCTGGTCTAGTTTTCCTGGATGGCTTGAAAAAGAAAAAACGGAATACATAATGCATAGCTAAGAACACCAAGCATTAGATTTATGTGTGCTTGCACTGTGGTGTATGAGTGTGTGTGTGTGTGTGTGAGAGAGAGAGAGAGAGAGAGAGAGAGAGAGAGAGAGAGAGATAGAGATGGGGTATAACAATAACAAAAGTGTATTTCTTGGTGATGTTGCAAAACTAATTGAAACTGTTCTGGAAAGATGTTTTAGCAGTGAAGAGTGTGTACTGCTCTATCAGAGGACCCTAGTTTGGTTCCCAACATCCATGTTGGGCAGCTCAAAACTCCAGCTCCGGGAGACCTGGTAGTCTGTACTCATTTGTGCATGGATGCACACATGCTCTCACACTCATACACACATAATTTAGAACAAATAAATCTTAAATAGGGAGAAAGCAAAAGAACCACCTTCAATCTCACTGCAACTAAATGACACTATCCGATTAATCTCCCAGTCTTTGAGGGCAGTGGGCTGTCCCCTTCTGGAGGAAGACTGTGTTATCAGTCTTGTTGGAAGCCCCTCCTCTCAGCCATGAACCCACAGTTTAGGCTCCCTTCTTACTTCCTCTTGTGGAGAAAGTTGACGTCATTTGAGTTTGGGGCTTCCTTTCTTCTCAATGCTACAAGAACTTTATTGTTGCTATTCACTTTCTTTTATCTTTAAGCCTTCCTTGCATATACAAATATGGTGGAAAAATTCCATCATTTGAATAAATGTCTGTCATCCCCATGTTGTCTTCTAACTACCCAGCTATTTCTTGCCTCTCCTCTAGGAACATCTTTAAAGAATTGCCTGGAGACACTCAATGTCTCTCCTGTCTTCTACTGCTGTCTCTCACTCGGATTCAGCCTTGTCATGTTCTGGTATTGTGCTTAGCAAGGTCACCAGTGAACTGCAGGCGGGCACATGATGGTCTTTAATCTCTGTCTCACTGACTTGGTAGCAGCTTTTGGTCCAGGCTACAGCAATCCTACCTTAGAACAAGTTCTGGTTTCTGTTACTCCTCCTGTTTTACTTCCTATTACTTTGGCTGTGTCTCAATTTCCTTTGCCAACTCCCCCCATCTCTATCCAGCTCTGCATGTGGGAATATTCCAGGACTGCAACCCCTTAGGCCTATTGCTCTTCATTGTTGTTACCCAAGGGTCATACTTAAACCTTATAGGTTTATTTTTGTTGGATTTGGAGTGTCTTTTAATGCAGTCTTTACCTTCTTGTCTTCTTCATCCCTTGCAATTTATTTATTGAAGAGCATACATATACATATAGTGCTTCCTATACCAGACTTCACCCCTAACCCTACTAGTTCCCCTCCCCTTTCTACCCTTTGTATTTGCTGTGGGTTTTTGGTTGCATCTATCATTATCAGACAAGATTCTGATTCTTCTTTATTTCCCTCCAGCACCCCTTCCTCTGGCTGCATAGTCTCTTCCACCCATTGGTGGGTTGAGCATTGGATGTTTTGGGAAAGTTTTACTACTGCTAATTCTCTGTTCTTAGAGTCATTATCTAAGAATCACATGGTTAATAAACTGTGGTGGTAAGTTTCTGTCAACCTATCACAAATCTGGGAAGAAGGAACCTCCGTCTGAGAAATGGTCTCCATCAGATTGGCCTATCAGCATGTCTGTGGGACACTTTATTGATTGCTAGTTGATATAGAAGGGCCCTGCCCACTATGGATAAGGTGTGGTAC